ATTTATTGGAGCAATAGATTTACCGGACCGAGTTTCACCAAATGGTAAAATTGGGCTGAAGAGCATATTATGCTTGTAAGGAACTTAAACATGTATATGGGAGCTATAGGTATTTCCTGAAGCCATTTGGTGCACAATAAACCTGATATCGGATAAAGACATATATCTGATCCGATCTCGATAAAATTTGACAGAGTTTTTTTTGGGCTGTATCTGATATGTGGTACCAAAGATTATTGCTGTGTAGTGCATATTACGCATGTGAGGGACTTAAAGCACCAGATCGGATGAAACATACAGGGTGAATATTATCGCGAAAATATTCTCAGAATCAGACTATTAAAGCCTTGGCTTTTTGGCCGCAGATGTTGGACATTCCAACACGACTCAGCGCCATAGCACTTAACACGCGCCACCCAAGAATGGTTACAAAATGAAGTTCCTCGCTTCATTTCCAGCTCACTATTATGGCCACCAAAATCTCCGGATACCAATCCGTTGGACTATTGTGTCTGGAGTATTTTGAAAAGCAAGGTTGGCACTAGAAAATACCAAAGTCTCGATCACCTCAAGAAAGCGTTTCGCCAGGAATGGGCCAAAATACCGCAGAGCAACATTCGGGCAACGTGTGACGATTTCATTGGCCGATTGAAGGCCATAATTCGTGCCTAAGGTGACCAATTCGAACAAATCTAAACTTAATCTAAAACTTTATGCCATTTGCGACATTTTTTGCTTTCATTCAATAAAACTAAAAAAAAAAAATACAAATTGTGGCGTTTGACTTTGTTGCAGTTTTTTTTTATCTCATATGGTAGTTTCCGATATTTCGAGGTGTTACAAAATTTTTGGCCCAATCAAACTTATAAAACCTTCAACACATTGTTGTTGAAGAGTTGTAGGGTATAGAAAAGCAAGGACACATATGCCCCTTAAGAGGTTTATTAATGCATGGTTGGAAGACTTAAAAAAAATTGAGAAAGATCCATGAAAAAAATTTAAAAATCTACGCTTTGAAAGTTTTGAAGAAATATTAAATAATACTTTTTTAAAATCTGAAAGTCATACAAAAAAAAAAAAAAAAAAAAATGTAAAAAACCCCAGTTTAGGGCTTATACAACAAATATTAAAAAAAAAAAAAAATACAAAATAACCAGAGTTAATCGCATTATTGTTGTTTTAATAAAACCAGCATTTTATGTATTACTTGAGAAAAATTGTAATTATAAATTTTAATGTTTACTATCTTTAACAGTATTTTAAAAAATATTTAAAAATCAACGTTTTTCGAGTTCTTCAAAAATATTTTAAAATAAAACCATGGTTGGTAAGTCCTTCAAAACTATTGAAAATTCCAAACACTGAAAGTCCGTAGACAAAAAACAAATAAGGTTTAAGAGTCGTTGAAAAATGCTTTGAATTATACACGGTTTGAAAGTCCTTATAGGTATTGAATTCATTAAAAATATTAAAAAAAAGGTTAAATTTAAAGTCTTAAAAATGTTTCAAAGTTTCTATAAATATCTTGGAAAAAATATTTCAAAGTCCAAGGTCCAAAGGCTGTATCTATATGCCTCTGCCTCTATCTATAGATCATGCAGGCCTTTCCTTACATGCCTAAGCGGAGGGTACCTATCCAGCTTGGCTTCCAAAAGATATACTTTCAAAGAAGCAATTTTGAAATAGCATTGTCTTCAAATGCCATTTAGAAGATGATATTCTCAGTGTTGAAATATTCACAATTTTGTTGGGGATCCTTAAATATGTCTATCATCCTGTATCCTTTGCAAAAAACCCGCTCCGTTAAAGTGGTAGTTAAAAATTGAAATTATTGTTCATTACGACCGTTTACAACATTTTAATAGCCTTTAATGAAATCATTAGTATATTCCACATTTATATATCATAAAATATTTATTAATTTTATTCATTTATTATTTATTTGTATTTAATTATTGTACATTATGGATGTGTGTGTGGTTGTTTGAATGATATGAACATTGTATGTGTCTTTGTGTTGTTACATTGTTACAAATTCATCCGATTCGTTTTGTTATTGTTTTTTTTTAATTTGTTTATTTACTTTGTTATTCTTTCGTGTAAATTTAATATTTAAGCTGCATTTACATTTATTTACGATTTTCCTCTGTTTTTCGATTTTTGTTTTTTTTTTTTCATATTAAGTATGTATGTGTATATGTATGTATGCCTTGTATATGTATATATATTTCTCTTTTTTTGTGTCAAAGCCCATGGACGGTACCTAAATCATTTTTCTTCTTTTTTTTAACACTGCTGCCATTTGTTACGTGGGGTGTGTTGTGTTTTTGTTTTAAGCATTTCAGTATTTGATTTTTTCGAGTTTTGTTTTGGTTTTCATTACCGTTTTTAACGGTCAATTTTCATTTGAAATAATGTTTATTAATTGAGGTTAGGTAAAGAATAAAAGGATTTTTTGACGCGGTATTATTAAATAGTTTTGAATAATAATATTTGTTTTGTTTTTCATTTTTATTTTTAAATATGCTGCCTTTTTTGTATATCAATAATTTGGAGTAAATAATTGTTTTTTGTTTCTTTTGGTTCCAGGAGAAATAGTTTTTAAATATTTATGTTTGGAATTTTGTATTCTTTTGTTTGTTGTGTTGTTTTTTTTTGTTGTTAATTGATATGGTTGGTAGTTTTGTTAGCAACATTTGAACTGTAATTATATAGAATGGCCTTAATTGTTGTTTTATATTTTTTTTTTTAAATTTTACATTTAAAGCAGTTTGAAAAAAAATAACATTTTATATACAGGGTGAGATAAAAAAACTGCAACCAACTTCAGACTGCTGTCATTTCTAAGCCACTCATCCAAGAGCTGTTAAAATTATTCCAGTGGCAGCTCATTATATTGTTTACAAGTAAGCCAAAGCATTTTCTTGAGAATTTTCCAGAAAAAAAGTTATTCGTGATGATTTCCTTATATTTGACAGGAAAACCACAAGTGGTTATCGTTAGAGCAATCCAGCATTTAAAAGTGAATAAATCTTTTGTGTCACGTACCATCGCTTGTTACCGTGATACTGGTAGCATAACCCGATGTCAAAGAAGTGGACCGAAAAAAACAGCAACATCAGCAGAAATGGTTCGAAAAGTAAAGAAGCGTCTTGATCGAAAACCACGTCGCAGTGGCCGAAAAATGGCTCGTGAGCTGAACTTATCGCAATATTTCGCATTCGGTAAATATTGAAAAATGAGCTCGAGGCAAAGCCATTGAATTTCCAAAAAATGCAAGAACTTACACCGCAACAGAAAGAAAATAGACTCAAAAGAGCTAAAGAGTTGCTTCGCTTGGCCGAAAGTGGTGAACTGCCGAGTTGGGTTTTCTCCGATGAGAAAGCATTCGTTGTCCAGGCACCGTAACATTCTGTTTGGTTCATCCCATAACGCTTCTGCTTACCAAAAGTGGCCCACTGTGCACATAATATCACAACCACATCATCATACCAAGAAAGGTTTGGTTCTTACCCATTTACATTTTGAGAATAGCTTAAGGTCGTTTCGACCCTAAGGCCTCTAATCATTCGCTTTCGCAGATAAGATTATTTTACATAATTTTTAAATGTACCAGCTATCCTGAGGGAAACTTCGGTGGGAACCAGCTACTAGATGGTCGTGTTTACTTGCCAAAGAGGTCAGCTGAAAATGTGCACCTTCGATTGGCCACCAGAATTCAATCACCATGGCCGTGGAGATGGTATTAATCTGAGACCGTGGCATCAGAATAAATGCCGAATATAATAGCGAAACTATTCTGGAGGGTGTATTAAAGCCTTGGGCATGCAAACATTTTGGCCGCAGACCTTGGACATTCCAACAGGACTCAGCACCATTGCACTCAGCACTCGCCACCCAAGAATGGTTACAAAATAAGGTTTCTCGTTTCATTTCCAGCGCATAATGACCACCAAAATCTCTGGATACCAATCCGTTGGACTATTGTTTCTGGAGTATTTTGGAAAGCAAGGTTGGCACTAAAAAGTAGCAAAGTGTCGATCACCTCAAGAAAGCGCTTCGCCGGGAATGGGTCAAAATACTGCAGAGCAACATTCGGTAGCGTATGGCCGTTTAAAGGCCATAATTCGTGGCAAAGGTGAACAATTCAAACAAATCTAAACTTATTCTAAAATTTGATGCTATTTCCGACATTTTTTGCTTTCATTCAATAAAATTAAAAAAAAAAAAAAAATGTAAAAATTATGGCGTTTGACTTTGTTGCAGTTTTTTTTATCTCACCCTGTATTTATGTAGACCGAAAATTATATTAAGTAGTTTTCATTCATTATTCATTATGACAGTATGGATTTTAAGAAAATGAAATATTAGTAAATTATTATTATTAATATTTTATATATATATAAAAAATGAGGGTTAACATTTGTTATTTGGTAATTAATTTTTTATATAATATAATTATAGTTAGGTTGGGGTTAAAATTATATAATCCTTTTTTTAAGATATTTGGGTTTGTTAAAAATTATATTATTAATATTAGTTTTTTTTTCATATATTTTTCTTTGGTTTTGAAAACTCATTTAGGGGTTCCTTTCTTAATTTACATTTACAGTGACAAATAGTATTTGCCGGTAATTTCTCCACCTTCAATTATTATGTTAATATTTGTTTTTTTTTTCTTAATCTGTAGTCTTAGATTTTAAAAGTTTTTTAAGTTTTTGTTTTATTTTTTGTTTTTGTGTGTTTATTTAGTTAAGTTTTAATATTAGTATTCCCACACCTGGTGACGAGAAGAGAAAGAGAGAAAAAATTGCAAAAAAATATGTTATCTTATTAGTCACATAATTAACAAGAGGTGATTGTAATTTTTAAGGTTAGCTACAACAAAATGTGTTTTTTTCTGTTTAATTAAATTAGAGTTCGTGTAAAAGCCAAAAGCATTGATAAAAGTGTGTTTTAGTTACGTTTTACTTTGAGAGTAGCAAGGAAATTCAACTTACCGGAAGACCAGCTTTGCCAGAGGGACCCATAGGTCCTGAGTCGCCGCGCATGCCCATAGGACCCTAGAACAAGAATGAATAACATAATATTACTAATTGTGTCAAATAAAATGTCTAAAGATATTTTAAAAACATAATTTTGGATTTTTGCTATTTAAGAACTAATTGTCATTGGAAATATGTGGAAATATATATCATTTACTACAATAACTTAATTTGGTTTTGAAAAAATTATTATAAAAATGTCACAAATATAGTCCTGATAGTCCTGCGGTATTAGAAAAACCACGATTATAGCCCTAAGGATTCTTACAAATATACTCCTGACAGTTCTATGGTTACAACTGTAACAATCCTTTCAAAAATATTCTAAAAAAATATATAATTTTAGGACTGATAGAAATAAATTTAGCAGTGATAAAAATATTAAAAAAAACTATGCTTGGGAATTAAAAAAATAAATAAAAGGGAAGGACATTAAAAAATATTTTAAAGAAATGCACCAAATATGATTAAAATTTTACTGAAAAACTAGGTTCCAAAGTCTTTGATTTTTTATTTTTTTTTTTTTTTGAAAATCTCAAGCCTTAAGTCCTTGAAAAATAGTTTTTTCAAAAATATTAAAAAATGTTTTCATTATAAAGCTGAAAATCTCTAAAAAAAGTATTAAAAACACATCCGAAAATCTTTTAAATTAAATAAATATTTGTTATAAAAATAAATAAAAATAAAATTTCAAGAAAACCCATAAACTAAATTTTTTTCAAAAAAAAAATTTTTTTTAATGTCAAAAAATATTGAAAAATAGTATTTTAATAATTTGTTCCGTCAAAAGATAAACATGTAAAAAAGAAGCTAAGTCCGGCCGGTCCGAACGTTTTATATCCTCCACCAATTGGAAGAAATTTGAAAATTTTCGAGAAAAAATTCCGTCGAAAAATACTGGTCAAATAAACCAGTAAGGAAAACTCAAAAGTCGGGCGGGGCCGACTATATGATACCCTACACCACTATGCATATTTAGTAGAGCTCTCGTAAAAAGGTTTATACAGCGCATTTCAGAGCTCTATGAGATATTTGGTACAAAATCATAATCTATCTAGTTCTATCGTGCATTTTACGAACTATAGCTATCTCTGAACCGGGTTTCTCCAAATTTGACGTATTAGCTTCTAGACTGAATTCGGTCTTATGTACAAAAATTCAGGTGATTTGGGCTGATATTGACCATTTAGTGCACAATTAACCTGAAATCGTTAGAATAATCGATTCTCACCACTATGTGGCTGTACAGATGTCTGAAACAATTCCTAATATTAGTTGGGAATTGAAGGAACGAAAATAGCTATATCTGAACAGATTTTTACTAAAATTGGTGTACCTGCTTCTAATCTGGTTTCGGTCGGATTTGCCAAAATTGATGCTATTACGGCCATTTGGTGGTCAATCACCCGAAATCGAATGAACATATATATGGGAGCTATATCCAAATCTGAACCGATTTCTATAAAATTTAAAACAGCTACTCCTGTGCTCCATCTAATACCTGGTACCAAATATCACGGTTGTGGAGTGAATATTACGAATGTAAGGGACTAAAACACTAAATCGGATGAAACATATATATGGTTGCTATATCTATATCTGAACCGATTTTCACTAAATTTGATATACTTGCTTCTAGGCTGAATTTGGTCCGATGTACTAAAATTCAGTCCAGTTGGACTTATATCGGCCATTTGGTGCACAATTAACCCGAAATCGGATGAAGATATATATGGGAGCTATATCCAAATCTGAACCGATTGCGATAAAATTTAAAACAGCTATTTCTGTGCTCCATCTAATACCTGGTACCAAATATCACGGTTGTGGAGTGCATAGTAGGAATGTGAGGAACTTAAAGATCAAATCGGATGAAAGATATATATTGGAGCTATAGCTATATCTGAACCGATTTGATATACTTGCTTCTAGGCCGAACTCGGTTGGGTGTGCCAAAATTCAGGTAATTTGGACTGATAGTGGACATTTGGTGCACATTTAACACGAAAGCGGATGAAGATATATATGGGAGCTATATCTAAATGTGATCCGATTCTTACCAATTTCAATAGGGTTCGTCCTTGGGCCAAAAAAATATTATTTGGAAAATTTCATCTCAATCGGATAATAAATGCGACCTGCGTTTTGTTCACGAGAATACATGGACAGACGGACGGACGGACGGACGGACAGACGGGCTGACATGCATAAATCGACTCAGAAAGTGATTCTATGAAGGTTCTCAAAAGTAACTATGGGTCTATCTCGTTTCCTTTTGCCTGTTACAAACAAATGCACAAAGACATAATACCCTTACCACTATGTGGTGTAGGGTATACGTGGACCTGCTGTAGTATCGATTTCGAACTTCAAATACGAAATTTGACGAACTTCAAATACGAAATTTGGTGAACAATGTCGCGAAAATCTTGGAAATATCTTACATATCGGGGTAGCGTTATATGGGTGCTATAGTAAAACGTGGACCTATACAGTCAATTCTCTTCCAAAGGGGTAAAGTACTCAGAGAGAACACCTTGTGTGATTTCAGAAAATTCCATAGAAAAATGTGGCAAAAAAAACAAAATACCGAATATCGGGGCACCATTGTATGGAGGCCATCACGAAGAAGAAATTTTACTAAAATCAACAAAATTGCGAGTATAGGGAGGTACAGTTAGGTACTCAAAGGGCACTAGATTTTAAGCCAATTCCATTGAAAAGTGTGGCTAAAACCATTAAAATACCCAATAACGCGGGACAGCATTGCATGGGGGCTATAAGATATCGTGCACCTAGATAGGCAATTCTCTTTCCGATATCGATCTGAGTTTGATAATAAAACAAGTTAAAAAGTATCAGTCGGTATTGCCGCCAGATATATACCCTCAGCCTATGTTCGATTATTTAAATATATTTTGACTAGTGTTAAGATTATTCAAACGTTTGACCTTCTATGGAGCAGGTGCTGAAGGAGTGGGCCAATATTGTCCATTTCCTATCGGACCCAAAAATATGATATAAATATTGCGACAGATGTGCCAAGTCTAAATGGAATCGGATGTTAATTTGGCCTTTTATGAGCTTCATGGGTACTAAAAATTTCAATATTTTGTGGGGGTGGGGGGGGGTGAACCAGAAGGAGTGGACCGATGTATTCACCCTTCACACCACACCATGGGTTAATACAAATATTAGGATAATACAATATTAAGAGGATTTGAAGACAATCGGACTTTTACATCACATTTTATGAGAGTTGTAATTATTCAAAATTTTGACCATTTGTGGGGGAGGTACTAGATGGAGTGGACCGATATTTTCCATTTTCACACCTGACCTAGCACTGACGCAAATTTTAGGATATGCAAAGTTGGAGCAGAATCGGATTATCCATTCACTTTCTGTGCAAAAAAATATATATTTTTGAACATTTCGACCTTTTGTGGGGGAGGTACAAGAAGGAGTGGACCGATATTGTTCATCTTAACACCAGACCTTGGGTTAATATAAATATTGGGATGTGTGAAATTTGAAGACAATCGGACTCTGACATCACTTTTTATAAAAGTTGTAATTATTCAAATTTTTGACCATTTGTGGGGGAGGTACTTGATGGAGTGGACCGATATTGTCCATTTTCACACCTGACCTAGCACTGACGTAAATATTAGTATTTGCAAAGTTGGAGCAAATTCGGATTATCCTTTCTCATTCTGTGCAAATATATATTTTTTTGAAAATTTCGACCTTTTGTGGGGGAGGTACCAGAAGGAGTGGACCGATATTGCCCATCTCCGAACTCGATCTAAGTTTGACAAAAATATTACGATGTACCCAATTTGGACCAAATCGGATACTCTTTTCGAGAGTTATCGTGCGCACCAGCCAGCCAGACAGACAGACAGACGGACGGACGGACGGACGGACATCGGTAGATCGACTCCAAATGTTCTGAAACGGATTTGGTCCAAAGAGACCTAGGGTCTAAAACCGTTATTTCGACTAGGCACGTTTTGGCCGTATCAAATGATATATACCCTCTGTAGCCATATGGCTGAGGGTATAATTACGAAAATTATCGTGTGAACCAGCCAGTTTCTAAAAAAAAAATATTCTCATAAAATATATGATTTAGACCCCAAAATTGTTTTCAAAAAATAGTCCTTAAAATAATCCTAAAAAATTCATTTTTTAGTTTTAATAATTCCCAAAAATGTCTCCGTGAAATAATTTTTATGAAATCAACTATATAGTCCTCGAAATAATGTATATTTGTCTCAAAATATTTTTCAAAAATCCACGATAGTAGTCCTCAAAAAAAAACCTTCGTTTATAGTCCTTCCAAAAATTCTGAATAAATCTATAATTTAGTCCTTGAAATATTTCTCAAGAAAACGAAGATCTAGTCCTTAAAATAGTGCGATTTTGTCTCTGAAATAATTCTTACAATCCACGATTTAATCCTTTGAAATGATTCTTAAAAACCACGATTTAACCCTTTGACTTAATTCTTAACATCCACGATTTTATCCTTTCAAATGATTCCTAAAATCCACGATTAAATCTTTAGAAATATTCATTAATATCCACGATTTAATCCTTTGAAATATTTCTTAAAAACCACGATTTAATTTTTGAAAATGCACAATTTCATCCTTTGAAAGAATTCTTAAAATCAACGATTTAAAAGAAATTACTGAAAATATTCTTAAAATCCACGATTTAAATGAAATCCTTTGAAATAATTTTTAAAATACACGAATTTAATCCTTTGAAATAATTTTTAAAATCTAGGATTAACTTTAAAAATTTCTTAAAAAAATCCACGATTTAGTCTTTTAAAATAATTCTAAAATGATGAAAATAATTATTTAACAATCCAAAGGATCAATATTTAGAGAAACAATAAACCTTAAAAACAAATACTTACCGGCAGACCCATAGGACCCTGATCACCTTTTGTGCCTTTTTCACCAGGATCTCCTTTGCGGCCATCCAAACCTCTATCACCGGGTTTACCCGGATGGCCAGGAGGTCCCATGGGACCAGGTGGACCGGGAGGACCATAAAGCTAAAAAAACGAAACGAAAAAAAGAAAACAAAACAAATCATAACAAAATATAAAATTAAAAATAAAAAGTTAAAAAATAACTGTTCAACACTTACATATTCAATGGTGGGCATATGATGAGGAGCATCCGCCATGCCATCATCTTGACGTCTGCGCATTTTACGATACTTCTAGTGAAAGGGCCAATCAGAAAACTTTCTTTTCGAATAATAGTGGGAAAATCTTAAATACTCACCGAATCACCACGGTCGCCTTTGTCACCTTTGACGCCAGGATAGCCGGGAGGTCCGGGCAAGCCGGGTGGTCCCATAAGGCCGGGGGGTCCAATATCACCACGATCTCCCTTTTCGCCGGGAGGTCCTTGATAACCTGGAAGGCCAGGAGGGCCCTCAATGCCAGGTTCACCTGGTAGACCATCTAAGCCACGGGGACCCAACGAGCCAGGTTCACCGGGCTCACCGGGTTCACCCTTGGAACCATCTCTACCATCACGGCCATCTTTGCCTGGTATGCCAGGGGGACCTGGTGGGCCACGTAACAAAGTAACTGGAGGATCATCGTAATCTTCATCTTTAGCACCGCCTGGACCAAATATCTAGAGATTGCAAGGTTAGAGGTGGCATGCAATAAAAGGGGGAAATAGAAAATGAAAAATTAATTGGTTAAGGATATTTATTATTTCTCAAATCAATTACTCTTTCTCTTTTGTGTTACTCTCACTCTTCAGTGTAATTTTTTGATTTGTAATTCGTGTTCCTTTCTCACTTTTTCTCACTCTCTCTCTCACTTGTGTGTCTGTATTTGTGTTTTATTATCATTTAACTTTATTTTTGTTGCTGTGTAAATATTTCATGTTGTGAGCCTTCGGGGGCTTCACTTTTTTCCCGAGTGTGTGGTTTTGGTGCATTTTTGTTTGGTGTTGTTGCTTTGGGTAATCAATATCCTGTGCTTTTTGTGTGGAACCATTACCTGTTTTACGTGTGTGTGTTTTGTTTTTTTGGGAAGGATGTGGTAGAGGTTAATAACATTAAAGTGCCGTTACAACAGAAAAAGTTTTCACGTGTTGTCTGTGTGTGTGAAGTTTTCTTTAAATAAACATATACGGATATGGTTTTTCTTTTTTTGTGCTTTGGTGTTGGGAGAATTTTTTTTTTTGTTGAAAAAATTGCAAATTTGTTGTTTTAGTTTTACAAGTAAATATTGGAAGTGGTTATAATTTGAATACACTGAGGGAATCACACCGAATTTTATCACAGTTCTGAAAACATATTCATATTTTCTCATTCAAAAAAAAAAAAAAAAAAAAAAAATAATAAATAAATAAATAAGTAAATCAACCTAGACTTTATTATTTCTCAAAAAAAATTAATAATAATAATAATAAAATAAATAATAATTAACAAAATTTTATATAATTTTTATAAGTAATAGAGAAAGATGAAATGTTTATAAGTGCGGTTGTAAGATTTAGAAGATTTTCCAAACGAAATTTAGTTCTATGCAATTCTCAAATTTAAGAAAATCTAATTTTTTTCCAATTTTATGCCAAACACAAATTCCATATTCATCTCGGGTTTCTGGTAAAGAATCGCTGACTTGTTTCGCAAGTTATGACAGATAAATGTATTGAAACTTGTGACCCTTTGTGGAGGAGGTACCAGAATAAATGTTCCGAATTCGACCATCTTTTTTTACAGATCTTGTGGTGTGGAAATATTGAAGTGGTCCGATCATTTTTATAAAATACCTTGTGTTGATCGAAATATTGAGTTATACCAAGTCTAAATGGAACCAGATTTTATTTTCCCGTTTTATAAGCTTCATGGATATTGACCCTTTGTGAGAGAGGTACCAGAAGATGTGGATCGATATATCCCATCTTCACACTAGACCTTGTGTTTATAAAATATTGTGATGTGTGTAATTTGAAGAGAAACTGATGCTTATTTCAAATTTTATTATCGATTTGGTTATTTAAAAATTTTACTCTTTATGGGGAGATACCAGAAGGAATGGTCCGATCTCTACCATCATTCTCACACATCTTGGGTTGATATAAATATTCAGATGTGCCAAGTCTGAATGGAATCGGATGTTAATTTCGTGTTTTATGAGATTCATGAATATGCAAAATGTTCACCCCCTGTGGGGGAGGTATCAGAAGGAGTGGACTGATGTTACCCATCTTCACACCAGACCTTGGGTTAATAAAAATATTGTGATGTGTGTAATTTGAAGACAATTGGAGCCTAACATCAGATTTTATTAGATTTGTAATAATTCAAAATTTTTACCGTTTTTGGGGAGGTTCTGGATGAAGTGGACATTTTCGCACCTGGCGCAAATATTAGGATTTGCAAAATCGAATTTTCCTTTTTCTTTCGTGATGGAATCAAGCGTGATAGTGTGATTTCTTTATATTTGGCTGGAAAACCACAAGTGGCTATCGTTAGAACACTCCAGCATTTAAATGTGAATAAATCTTTTGTGTCTCGTATCATCGATCGTTACCGTGATACTGATAGCGTAGCCTGACGTAAACGAAGTGGGTGGAAGAAAACAGCAACATCTGCAGAAATGGTTCGAAAAGTAAGGAAGTGACTTGAAATGGCTCGTGAGCTGAACATATCGCAATATTCCATTCGGCAAATATTGAAAAATGAGCTTGTGGTAAAGCCATTGAAATTTTAAAAAGTTCAAGATCTTACACCGCAACAGAAAGAAAATAGACTCAAAAGAGCTAAAAAGTTGCTTCGCTTGTCCGAAAGTGGTGTACTGCCGAATTTGATTTACTTCGATGAGAAAACATTCGTTCTCCAGCAGTTTGTAATCAACCGTGGCATCAGAAGAATGCCGAATATTATCGGGAAAATATTCTGAAGGGTGTATTAAAACCTTGGGATCGCAAATATTTTGGTCTCAGACCTTGGACATTCCAAAAGGACTCAGCACCATCGCAGTTGTTTTTATCGCACCCGAAAATGAAAATATTTACTACTATAGTCTTTGGAAAAAGTTTTATATTACCTACGATAACACTGTGAGTCTGAGTTTTCAGTAGCATAAATATAACGTGTTTTTATACGTTTTTTTGTCATTTCATCTTTCATATCTTGCGAGCCAAATCGATGAATTTTTCCCAGTGTAACACAATTGTCTCTTATTTTCCCTTTAACTAATGCGGTAACTGTTCACATTCATTTCCATTATCCTTAAAAACATTTTATTTTAACCTCAGAACGTGTATAGGTATTGATGGGTTTTCCATGATGCGTACAGGCAAACACGTTTTCAAAAGTAAGAGAGTTAGTTAAGTTATAAATGTGTGAGAGAGAGTGTGTGTGTGTGTGTACGTCTCTTCCTAGTACAGAGATAGTTTAGAGTGTTGGTAATTGTGAGGTTATATTGTCATACTACTCAACAGACAACATCCAACAACAACTCACACACACCCACACACACAAAAACCACATGCTCATGTCGAACATCTTGCAACCGGAAGTTATTCATACCGGTGTTTTAGTGTTTTCCTGAGCATAACCATGTGAACAGAGATGATGGGGGAGTTGAAGTCTTTGTGGTTTTTGTTTTGTTTCATTCATCCCAAGAAAATATGTGGGAATGTTGTGCTGCCATGACAAGGTGTTGTTCCTGAGCATACCTCAAATATTAGATAGTTAATTAAAGTTTATGAAAAACAATTTGCCAAGGAACGCAAACAAAGAAAAAACGTAGCTCCAAAGGAGATAGACAAACTTGCACACACAAACCTATGAAACAATGACAAGGAAGAAGTATTTGTTGGTTATTTGCCTTCGACTTTATTTTATGGGTCTTCTTGTCGTTTTTTTTTTTCTTAAGCTAAAGAATTTTCCATGGCATGCAGCAGTGTTGAGCATTGATAGACATGCCAACATTGGCAACCAATTGAAATTGTCATAATGTTTGTCTCTGGGTTAATTGAATAGTTCACATGAAAAAACATTGTCTTCAATATTTTACTTGCTCAACTACTTTCGCAAAGAATTGCAAGAAAAAAACTAGGTCGTTCAGTTTTTAATTGATTTCGATGAAAGAAAAATAAATTGAGGTGAAATTTTTGCGTAAAAAAGATACGAAGTTATTCAAAGTAATTTGTAAGTGGAAATAGTTTGAGTTTATGTTTTATTTGATTTTTTAAGGGGGTGGGAAGGAAATAAGTTTTAATAGATATCAATAGGGAAGTATTGGCAATTTTTGGGGGAAATATTATGAAGTTGTATAAGGTATAATAAATTTGAAAAATAATTCGGAGGCTATTGACAATTATTGTCGGGAATAGAAAATATAGAATGATCTATTATAAATTTGAAAAATATCAAAATTCATGGTTAAAGGACAAGAAAAAACCGTAAGGAAAAGTCAAAAGTCGGGCAGGGCTGACTATATCAAACTCTACACAATTATGCATATTTAGTAGAGCTCCCGTAACAAAAGAATTTATTTGAAGAAATATTATAACACCTATCATCATTTGAGTTTATAGTTTATAGTATAGTTATAGTTTGGTTTCTGAGGGAACATATCCAGTTCTGAATCGATTTTCACTAAATTTGACGAAGACATTTTTATCTTTTGTACCAAATAACATTGCTATAGAGTGCATGAGAACCATTTTATCAAAAAAAAAAAATATATATATATCGGAGCTGAGTTCCACAAAATGGAAACGTACGTCCCATTTGGGCTGATATTAGCCATTATTTGCACAATAAACCTGAAATCGAATTAAGGATATTTAGAAGCTATATCCAAGTTTTAGCCGATCTAGATAAAATTTGGCAAATGATATTTAGGAGCTATATCCAAGCTATAGGAGCTATATCTCGATAAAATTTGGCAAAGGTATTTCCGAACTTTATAAGATATCTGATACAAAATATCATTGTTGTCGAATGTATATTACGAATTCGAGGGACTTAAACACAAACTCGGATGATACATCTATATGGGAGCTATAGCTATATCTGAACCGATTTTCACTAGATTTGAAGTACTTTCTTCTAGACTGAATTCGCTTGGATATGCCAAAATTCAGGTCATTTGGACTTATATTGGCCATTTGGTGCACAATTAACCCGAAGTCGGTTGAAGATATATTGGAGTTGCATCTAAATATAATCCGATTACCACCAATTTCAATAGGGCTTGTCCTTGGGCCAAACAAATTTTCTTTGGAAAATTTAATCTCAATCGGATAATAAATTCGACCTGCATTTTGTTTACAAGAATACATGAATAGACGGACGGACAGACAGGTGGGCTGACATGCATAAATCGACTCAGAAAGTGATTTTATGAAGATCCTCAAAAGTAACTATTCTCCCTGTTACAAACAAATGCACAAATACATAATACCCTTACCAGTAAGAATTGGACTTCTGATGTCTTCTGAGACCTATAGTAGAATTTTATGACAAATCAATAGTAGAAAATTAGGACCAATTTGACCAATACTCTTGGTCTGGAGTTCTTCCTTAAAACAGGATTTTCTTCAAAGAGTATCTCCAAAAAATTCTAGAATTTTTTAAGATGGACCACAAACATCATTTTGTC